AAGGAAAAAAATCCTGACTGATGATATCATAATTCATGCATGAAAGGGTTAAAAAAAACTCACTACAACAGCTAGATGGCCATAGACCTCCACCATAAGATGATTAACCATACTACATATCTTTTCACACGTTTTTCCAGTTGGATTCATATCTAAATATTATAAAATCACAATTATAATACATACAAAAAACTTTTTGTCAAAGTTTAGCATTTTTTTGCACTGACTAAAGTTTTTTTCAATTATGTCACATTATGCTTAGAATCAAACCAAACAAATGTTGGAGTCTTTAGATTTTATCATTTATTTCAATCATCTGTTTTAATATAATTCTACATTTTAATTCTACAATTTACTAAAGAACAAAACATTACAGAAATGAACAGTTATATACATATTGAGTAAAAATACATGACATGAACATGAAAATGCAATGAACTGAACAGCAATAACAAATGAGCAAATAAAGCAGTAAAAAAAAAAGTAAAAAAAAAAAACAAACAGTGAATGGGAAAAAATCAAACAACAATAATTGGTGGTTATCACATCACATTGTTTACAGTGCACTGCAGGCAGTATACATAGTATAGCCTTACAAATGTATTACTGTGTGTGTGTGTGTGTGTGTGTGTGTGTGTGTGTGTGTGTGTGTGTGTGTTTTAACCCAGTTCTATGTTTTCTGTTTTATTTTTCCCATAAGGTTTAATCAAAAACATGTCTAAATAATTGAATTCATGAAATAATAATTTTATATAGTGCATTTAAAAGTAGTGTGTCAAAGCACTTTACATAAAAAAAACAAAAAAAACAACAAAACAAAAAAAAAACAATTGATTGGCTCTGATCCCTCTGCTGTGGCGGCTTGAGTTCCTGTCAGGTTGGGGTTGGACTTCAGGATTCGGGTCGAGTCTCCAGCTCAAGCACTCCACCAAGGACAGCAAGTGTGTTCTTTCCTATCCAATACACAGATTATATGAACAAGTCAACTCATGACTGATATTTTAAGAGCTGTTATAGCTACAACAGAATTGAATTCTATTTGCACTGATTCTCTTATTTTCCCGTCTACCGTAAAACCGCATTGAAAAAATCTGCATTGTACAAAGCGCTATATAAATGAAGGTGACTTGACTATAACAAGAACACAAACGTGAAAATCTTACAACAAACGATCCAGAGTTGAAGACAAGTGATAATAATCCTACTCTGTCTGTTACACTTCCTCACACCTGAAATCATCAATCATGATCGAGTGAATCTCCTGAACTCCTACAGTAGATCGTTTCTAATCCATGTATGTTGGGACATCTGCTCTAACGTGGGCCGTTTCGCTGGATCCCGGGCTAGACACTGCCTAATCAGATCACTGCATTCTGTACAAATGTTAACAAGGAGAGAGCTGGTTAGTCATGTGACTTGGAATCTATGAAAACAGCATCTAAACCTGACTAATATAATGTAAAATGTTCCTTAATCTTTACTTTAAAAGTAAAGTATGTTGTTTCTGCGACACTAGTGGCATTGAGCGGAAATAATGACAAAATAAAGCATCATTTGAAAAAAAACCTTGCAGAGACCTCTTTCGTGCCTCACGTCTTCCCCAACTTAGACATCGCTCATATTCAACATGTACATACTGTATTATTCACTCACCCCTGGATAAGTTGGAATTGGGAAATGTAACTTTGGCTTCGATGACTTCCGTTCTACTCTGAAAAGGACAAGATCCGTTGAGCATCTCGTACAGCATCACTCCCAGAGCCCAGACATTTGCTGGGACGGCGTGGAATCTGGGCTCTGTGAAGACTTCAGGTGGGCAGTGATCATTTCTTCCTGTAAACGAGACATTTGCACATTGTTGAGCTTTTTTTCTTAAAGCGACACTACATTCAGGTTTCCACACTCCAAAATGCTCACCAAGGTATATGTCGCTCTCGTAGCCCTCGCTGCTGAATAGCTGACCGCAGCCAAAGTCTATCAGCTTGAGGTCTAACGAGTTTCTCTTCAGCAGGAAATTCTGCGCATGAACGTCGTTGTGAAAAACGCCATGCTCGATGCAGTGTTGAACTGCCAGAACAGCCTGTTGCGTGAAGACCCGTGCTATTGTTTCACACACATCAGGATCACGGCGAGTGATGAAGTCCTTCAAGCTCTCGCAGGGTTCGGGGAACTCCATGATGAGAGAGAATTTGCGAGGGTGTTCAAACCACTCGTACAGCTGTATGACGTAGGGGCTTATGGGTTCTCGCCTCATCATTAACAGCAGCGCCACTTCTGTAATGAGAGGTTCGGGATGCCCAGGCTAGAGAAAAGCAGTAGACAGAAGGTTAGCTGGGTGAAACATCTCACTTTTCTTTTTAGATACGTTCAAAAGAGCCTCAAAAGAGCTCAACGTTTTTTCTGTTGTGGCTCTAGGCTTATTTGTCAATCACATTTACACATAATGCTTCCTATGTGTGTATTAACTACACAGCAATCTGCACTTAAACAACTAAATACATATTCAGGTTTTGCCCGACTTACAATGTCAAGATAATGAAAGTTGTCACACTTGCGCATCCGCTTGATGGCAACCTGCAAAATAAAAAACAGTTTCAGTAACAGTTTTCAAGCACCTGACCTTGCACTAAGTACCATCTGCACATTGTTCTGAATGTGTTTTGATGCGCACAAAAGCAAAATGTTTGTACAATTCGGGAAGACTTACCCTTTTGCCATCAAGTTTGCGTGTTCCCCTGTACACACTGCCAAACGTTCCGCATCCAATCATCGCTCCCGCTTCATAAAGAGACTCAAAGGACTCTGAAAAACAAACAGAAATATACAGTATGAGAGATTGTTTTATTTGAAAAAAATATCAGTCCCGGTTGTGTCGAGAAAACAATAATAATATGGTGAAAATAATATGAATATTCTCTTAACACAAGAAGGCAATACCGTTTAAAATAATTTAGAGAAATAAGGACTGGCCATTTACCATTATTTGGCTCGACACCGGAGAGATCAGTATCAGGTGGTGACGTTGGATCAGGATCAGGTGGTGATGTTGGATCAGGATCACGTGGTGATGTTGGATCAGGCTCTGGCTCCGGCTCCAGATCTGCTGGAGGGACAAAAGGCTCGACAACATCCACAGCACAACTGTGGCAACGGCAGCAGAAAGAACCCTTCATAGCCTTCCATAGCCAGTGGAGGAAACGACCAAATCTTTTCCTCTTCCTTGTAGGCTTTCCTGAAATGAAGAGAAACATCTCTGATGTCATGACATAACTTACATTTTACTGTTAAATTCTTATCTGTAATGTTACAAATCCCAAGTAATGGAAATATTTCCAAGCTACCCTTCTGCTAAAAGCCTGCATAAATGTCCCAAGATAGCATTTCACAACTTTCATGACTCAGTCGGCACGACGGCCATTTTATTCAACTGCAATGGTTTTTGTTGGTTAAAGGAAGATTATATTTGATAATTTTGCAGTTTGAGAACATGTTTTCTTAATTCTCTGAAATATTTCTAAGCAAAAATGTAAAAATCACCAGACATTAAAATGCTAAAAACTTGAAATTGCAAAATCTCTTTCTATACACTTCACACTGGCCAGCCTTATTTCAGTCTCACCTGTTGAGCTCTTGTTCACAGGAGAAGACTCCATGGCACTCCGAGCAGTTCGGCCTCTTGAAGTCTCTGATGGCTCTTCAGCAACTTGACCCGGCAGCGGAGGGCACAGCCACCCTTCCCAGCTGTCGGACCTGGACAAACCGCAGCTGCTGCCACTGTCCTGTTCGCTTTGGCTCTCCGAAACATCACCACTCCACCTCCACACCACACTGTACGAGCCTCTGCTGCTCAGCCTCAACGACTCTCTGCAGAACCTCCTCTCCACATTGTCCTCAGAGAGGGACAAAGATGAAGATGAGTCTGTGGAAAATATCAGAAATCAAAAACTTTATTTTTTTGTTATGATTTTTAAATAATATTTATATGTAAGAATTGGTCAAAGCCTATTCTGACCTCTGCGAGAGTGTTTCGACGAAGTGGACGGACGTCCATCATCTGGGCTCCTCTGGGTGCCGCTCTGCCCCTCCTTCCTCCAGTGAGCCGGACCTGTGGACACAGAAACGGACAAGTCAGAAGACGAAGACTGTGTTAAATGTCCATGAAGCTCCTGGATCTGTGTCTGGGTCGGGTCTGGCTGCGTATCCTCACCGCGGTCATCGGAAACGGGTCTCCAAACCTCCTGACCAGCCGTCTGTGTGAAATCAGCTCTCCTGGATCTGGAGCGGCCTTAAGGGTGGGATATTTCACATAGTTAGCCAATACTCAATGTCAGTGGTCAATTTCAAATGGTTACTATACATAACATGATTTCATATGCAAGGAATCAAATACATGTGATCACTTACTGTAGCAGGAAACATTGAGGGATCAAATTTACCTTGCACAAGTTCCTTCACATTAATTTCCTCAACAACAATATCATACCATTTACAAATAAAAAACTAAAGACCTCACCTCCTCTCCCCCACATGTGAGCCATTGACGTCCTCCAATCTGCAATAAAAAACAATATTAAAAAAGAACAAAACACAACTCAACTAAAGGTCAACACTAAGAATTAAATAAAACAATAAACAAAAAAATAAATAAAACAATAAACAAAAAAAAGAAACCCCACACCCCTTCTAACGTAAGGAAAGAACAATTAAATATTAGTCTCCCAAAAAAAATATGAACTCTTTAAAACGTAAAAATATGTAAAGGATATATGCTTGACGTCCTCCAATCTGCAATAAAAACAATATTTAAAAAAGAACAATACCCAACTCTACTCAAAGTTAACACTAAGAATTAAATAAACAACAAACAAAAAAATCAAATAAAACAATAAATTAAAAAAATTAAATAAAACAATAAAAAAAAACCCCCCACCCCTTCTAAAGTAAGAAAAGAACAATTAAAATATTAGTCTCCACAAAAACAATATGAACTATTTAAAACGTAAAATATGTAAAGGATATATGCTCCGATCTTCTTATAGAATAAAGGTCTCTTCTCAGCTCAGCTTCACAAGTTTTGTGTAGAATTGCGCAAAAGTCTCTGAATTGTTCGCCTCGTCTCTCAACCAAGTCAGAAAACGATCACTTCAAATGTACACATAATGCATAACACGTGTCGTTATGGCAACTAAAATTCAAATCGTTCGTAACCACGCACGTGCGCCTGAAGCGCCTGAAGCGCTCAATATAATCGAAACTTAATTTTAAACAGTTATTATTATAATAATAATTATTACTATTATTATATTGATAATCCGTTTATCAATATAATAATAGTAATAATTATTACTAATTCTTGCCCAAAACGTAGGACGTGAAGGAAGCCAATCAGCTTGCAGGATCACTTATGCGTCATCACGCCGGTTGTTGAGATTTTTTTTTTTTTTTTTTATTTTTTTTTATGATTTTACTAATCATGGAGTGGAGGATGACGTTCTTTATTTATTTTACAATGATCATTAGCACTATCTTTCTCAAACAATGTTTAAATTGTTAACAGTTTATCTGCGCTGCTCATTCGGACTGAAATTTGTAGGCTATTATTAGACATAGTATCATGGACATTATAAATACATAGATGCCTGTGCTTCTTGGGGCTCTACAAATCGCCACACAACTGAAAACTGGTCTCGAGGAATTATCTTTCACACGCAAGACTGAACATTTGTTTCTGGCTGTATTTGGTCATGATATAGTGTAGTTCAAAGGAGAAAGGCCGTGAAATTTCAAAATACTACTGTTATTGTGTCACGAAACGTTGTTTGAAAAGTTTTTCAGTCGACAATGTAGTTGTTTACCCCTCTGGTTATCTTCATTTGTGTCTATACTCATTATCTTTGGGGTCTCCAGGGACCCCAGACAATAACATTTAATTTTGTAACAGAATTATTTATATATTTTTCACAAATGTAATTGGGTGATTCTTCAATTAGGGGAACTTTTATGTCCCCAGGTTATACATTCATGTTAAAAATACAATATTATAAAATAAACAGTTTAGTTATTTAAAATTATATTTGTTGTACCACGAAAAAATGTTATACACAAAAATCAGTATGATTTCCATTTTTAAAATTATTTTCATCACTAATATTTGGCTATTCAGGCCTTGTCCCCAACCCAGACTTCAGAACTTGTCTGCTCTGAAAATGTGATAAAATGTAATCAGTTCATTAAACAATTACAATATATGTTTAAACAGTAACTTTAAAAGGCACTTGATGCATAATTCGGGTTAATATCTGTGCAATTTGTGAATATTTTTAACAATTTAGTATTGTCCACAACAATACTGTCATTACCGCAACAGTCTATAATTACAACAAGGATATTTCTGAGGGTGAGACTTGTTTATGCCGTAACCATGGAAATGAAGACTAGAAGTGGAGCACATGTCAGCCATGAAAGAACAGTGAAATTTGATGTCTGAAAAAGTAAGTTATTTAATCTTGAATTCTTTCTGATCATGGAGTAGACTTATTCAGCGTCATTACCATAAATGTTGTAGCAGCAATATTTTGATACATTTATATATACATTCACGTGATTTATGTGTATTTAAAGTTTTTTGTACTAGCTGTTGAGTAATGTTAGCAAAACCATGACCTAGCATCTTTTTTTCCTGAAAAAAATTAAAAATATCATTACCGCAACACGTCATTACCAACACACAACTTGTTGTGATGGTAATGACAAGTGATGGTGGTAATGACATGTTCCGTGTCACTATCTATATCATATTGTGTGTTTATTAATTAAGTTAAAGAAGCATAATACTGTGGTTTTACAGTGAAACTTAAGTGATAGGTCTTACTTCATAAAACAATTTTTTCTTATTTTTTTAACCAGAATGGCTTCCAAGAAATCAACAGAAAGGTCTAGAGATTATAGAAAAAAATTGAAGGGAGATCCTGTAAAATATCAGCAGTATGTTTACAGAGAAAAAGAAAGATACAAAAGAAGAAAAGAAACAGGAAAGCTTAAAGTAATCTCACACTTTAAGGCATTTTTCCACTACACAGTACCAGCTCGACGGTGTTAGGCCTACCACTCATAAGCAGTGTGGAACCTGTGTTAGGCTGGGTCCATACGTTGCGGTCCCTACAGTGACGGGAGTGTGTGATGCAAATCACGCACGCCAATTACATTGGCTCGTTCAATAGTACTCGAAGAACATAGGCTCTCTGGCGCGATCCCCATTCAGTCAACAGTCGACAACGTCCTCCGTTCCCTCCTTCAGGGAACGGTGGGTTGCATACGCAACCAGGGCGATTTCTTTTAACAACACTCACCAAAAGTCATTATTTTAAGCCTTTAAATTTGCTTTACGTATCAGTGCACTTTTCATTTATGTCATTACCAAAACACTATGTCATTACCAGAACAGTATGTCATTACCGCCACGTTGCTTAATTTACAGCAAATGTACCTTTAAAAATGTTTTATGTTCAATCCTGAGGTGCTACATGAAAAGCCTAATAAAATACTCATTCACCTATTCAAAGAAAAAACATCTAAAATTAATTTTCCAGAAATTAAACAAAAGTGTGCTTTGACGAACACAGAAAAATACTTTTTTATGGTAAGAACAAGAAAATATCCGTAATTCGCTGAGTGGAAACATTTTGTTTTTTATACGCATTGTTAAAGGTTAAAACTATTTGCAAGATAAATGAGTTTAAATGATCTCCTTGATACATTCTGTGCGTTATAAGACTTTTTGATGTTGTGATGGGAATGACATTTTGAAGTGCCAGTTGACAAATAGATATAAAATACTCAAATAATATTTAAGCTCAGTTGCGGCCATTATTATATCTTTACATCAAAACATGTAAACATTGTCTTGACATAATTCTAACAAAATTTAACCAAATTTCATTAATCAAAATGTAAGATGGCAAAATAGCCCCCAATTGAAGAATCACCCAATTATAGTCTGTTTATTAATGTTTTTACTCAACATTTGTGCAGTTTTTAGAGGATTATTGATATCTTTTAAATTTCAATAAATAAATAAATATCTAAATAGGCTTTTTTACAAAAAAAAAAAAAATTAACAATAGCAATAGGGTTTCAGCACTTTGTGCTTGAACCCATAAAAAACAGCATTTTATGTCAAATTTACTTTAGAGAAAAGACCCAGATTTTTAACTTTCATTTATGGGGATAACATGGATCATTTGAAATGATTTAATGTCATGATCATTTGAAAGTTGCACATCAATCTCTTCAGTGGACCCTGGTGCATCATTCTATGCATTGCAACAAAGTTGTTAGCCATTGAGTTTAGATTTTTTCCCCCCCTCCAAACCAAGATGGCCAATGGCCAGTCAGACATGCCAAGTTCCAGAATATTCACCCATCCACATATATATATATATATATATATACAGTATATGTGTGTAAAATATATATTGCCGCACCAAGCAGTATCTAATGAGTCATATATCACAGTAAAATTGTCCAAGTTTTGATTTTAGATTGGGAGAAAAATCTGATTAATCACCTGTCCGCTATAGTGGACCTCATGCATCAATGGCTATATTTTAGCTACAATTCATACTTATACTGTGAATATTGTTTTTAAAAATACTTAATCTGCAGTAATTTGTTTTGACTGTAAATAAATGTATATGTGTATTATTAGAATATAATTTTCATTGACGTCTAAAAAAGTTATGTAATTACATAATTTGTGACTTGTAATGCATTACTTTACTCATTTCATGAAAAAGTAATCTAATTACGTAATGCATTACTTCTTAGATCAAAAAAAATCTGTTTACGTAATGAATGTTGCTTGTACTGCATTTATTTACTCGTAACATCAAAAAGTAATCTGATTACACAATTCATGTTACTTGTAATGCATTGTTAGATCACAAAGTAATCTGATTATGTAATGCACACTACTTGTAATTAATTGTTAGATCAAAAAGTAATCTGATTATGTAATGCATGTTACTTCTAACACATTACTTTACTCGTAGCATCAAACAAGTAATCTGAATGCGTTATACCTGCCCCAACACTGCTCATTTCAGATGAGACTGAAAAAAAAAAAAAGTATAGCTAGGTTTTCTCAAAAGAGTGCTATGCTAGAAATGTGTCCATCTCTAACATAATCAGAATTATCAGCTAATAAGGGTAAATTGACATAGTCTGGCACACTGGAGCGAGCATCTGAGTGTTTCCACAGTTGTTCATTGACAGGCTGTAGACATTTCTGATGGAATCACATCCTCATGTTCTGATATGAAGGTCAATTGCCTTTGCAATATTTCAGATTTATATATATATATTAATATATTTTAAAGTTTTCACATGATTTGATGTAACTGTACTGATAGTTTGTTAAATACACATACTTTATCTGTTTGATTATTGCATTATGTTTAATACAGTATCTCTTACTTCAGTTTAAACTATAAATTCATGCTGTCCGCTCAAGTGGACATCTGGAAATCTCTTTGAAAAAAAAAAAAAATTCAAATGAAATTTTGTTTTCCATGCCCTAAGAG